TAACATTTTACTGGGACATTTTTTTTTTTGATAGAAATGAAAATACAGTAATATACAGGTATATTGCTTATAACTAGCTTATTTTGAATTAAATTTTGCAAAGTTAATTCTTCATACTCATAGTTTACTTCACATTTAAATGTTTCTTGAGCAGCAAATCAGCATATTAGAATGATTTCTGAAAATCATGTGACACTGAAGACTGGAGTAATGATGCTGAAAATTCAGCATTTAAAAAATATATACATTTAAATAGAAGTCATTTTAAATTGTAATAATTCACAAATATTACTGTATTTTTTATCAATTAAATGCAGCCTTAGTGAGTTTTCAATTTTAATTACAAACTTTAGGCTGTATTTCAGATCATCACCAGCAGTCTATCACCACATTACGGAATTACTGTGGCTTCCTACAACATTCCTCAATGACAAGGTAACAGTGATTTCACAGTGAAGTAAAGTGTGTCCAAATTTGCAAATAAACATGCAAATTGTAGTACTTGGCACCCATAACTATGTGCCAAGACTCGCAGCCTGCTTTCTGTTGAGTGTTGGTGTTTTTATCATCAGGTGTTGGATTTTTCTTCCCAGATGCTGTGCCGTGGCAGCTTACCTCTCCACACAATCAGAGAGACGTGAACAATGGCTTGAAGCTGGTGCATCATGTCCTCCGACTGCATACAAGAAACTGTTATATGTGGCCACGCCCACTCCTCCTCTCCTCTTTGACATGGGTGCACACATACTCCATTTATTGATGTGGGGATCAAAACATTCCATCGATCGCAGACAGGAGCTTCCATCACGACCGCCGACAGCAAACAACCTGTAAATACATAAAGGTTTTACTTGAAGTTGGCAAGAAATATTTCAGAATGAAACAGGATGTTTGAAGACTTGACTGTATACACTGGGGTAATTTTGATCAGGAAAGTGGGCATGTGCCTTCGCTGGACCGACCATAAAATATTGTGTGTGTATGTTTTAAGCCTTATTTTTAGCTAAAGTAGCAAACGTTTATAATACCATTTCTGCAGATTTTATTGGTAATTTGAAATATGTTATAGAAACATTTTATTAAAACAATATTTTTTTGGAGATAAACAAATAAACTGTTTTCCTATTAAACTACCTGTACTTGTATACCCATTATTTAGACAAAAAAAAAGCTGGCAAGAGCCATTGCCAGGATGGCTGCTGAGAGAACTATCTTTGGCCAGCCCTGAATGAGTTTACATTCAATTATAGAGCACTTATCTCCTCCTGCATCAGCACAGGCACCAGTATCACAAATTAACTTTTTTGTTGAGAGGCATTATTTTCCCCCTGAAATTGAGATTGATAAAGTGGCATGAAATCCAAATTTACCTTAATGTGTGTTACTGGTCTTATTGTGAACAATTTATCTGTTAATTTTACTTATTTATGTATTGGCTTGGGATCTTTAAGCAAAGTGTTATAACGTGCTCCTGTGATATGTTTACTTGACGTCTATGATATATGCAAGGCCATGCTGCAGTTAAGCAACATGCATTGAGATCCTGTATGCACCACTCACATGTCAGCCAGTCAACAATTTATAAATAAAAGACCTGCTTTATTTTTTTTTCCTTCTTGTTCATTTTTCTGTTTCACTTAAATATGTCACAATACAGTAGTAAAGTCAGTAACAACTTGTGTTTATAAAAATATATAAAACATGTTTAAACACACTCACAATAAGACCAGTGACATGCATTTAATTGATTATTTTTGTATTATGTTGTGTTTAAACTACTCACTTTCCTTCCTGAAAAGAGAATTATACTGCTAAAATTAAATATTTGTGAAATGCCGTCTATTTTAACAGTGGGTTTGCAGACTCCTGGAGGTCCAAGGAGTATTGTAAATATATAAAATGTCTCAAAAATATTAAAAATGTGTTTTTAAAGATTATGGACAAAAGAATTAACTTCTATAATCTGATAGAAACGAGCATAATACAATAATGTTTGTCAATGGAAGAAATTTTACAGTGTTACCAAGAATTTCAAGAATGTTTAGCTCCTCAGATTTTGCTGAGAGTCTTGGCGAGGGGTCTCTGGGTCAGAAGCGTCTGAGCCTGACAACCCCTCTCCTACAGAAATTCAAAAAGATACCTATGATATGCCCTGTTGAAAAGACTGATCAATTAATCACTTGGAGAAGTAGGACACTGGGCTCTAGAGGTAGCTTGAAGGGTTACAGAAATGCCCCATGAGTCATCAGTCAATGTTCGGCTAGATTCAAACCCAGCCTCCGTTTTCTTGGACAGAGCTAACAGCAGCTCGCCTGCCACTCATGTGACTTTAATGTAAAAGACACCAGAGGGTCTTTGGTCTCAGAGCCTAGTAACTCCCATCTGGCTGTACAGGGTTACGCTGTATATTGGATCCAGTACCTAATTCAGACCTCATCATGAGGAGAATCCATGGTGGAAAGCCAATCAGCCACAGTGCACTGCACATACTGCTGTTGATAGAAAAGTCTTTTTTCTTTTTCAAAAATTACAAATATTTTTTTCTTAAAACTATATAGAAATTCAAGATCTTTACATATTGCAATAAAACAGATGTAATATAGTGCAGTATCCCTTTAACAAACCTAAAGTCCCCCTGCAGTCACTAATTTGGGGATTTTTAATAATGATACATATTTAAATGATTTTTCCTGTGAAAAAAATCCTTCATGGTTTAAAATGGCTTTAATGTAACTTTACATCCTTATCTCATATTCAACCATGACTATGCAAATGAATACCCACCTCCACTCAATCACACCAGACCTGCTCCACGATCACTCAGTTAACTGAAGTAGTAAACGCTACACAACAGGCAAGTGTGTGTATTACAACAGGCAGGGAGACGATGTGAGATCCACCAATCAGGGTGTTTCCCAAATCTCAATTTTTTTAAATGGTTAAAGTTAATGGAGAACATCTCGTGTTCTGAGTCCTCGGCGCCTTTGAATTCAGCCATATATATGTTTGAACCAGAAACTGATTCCGAAGAAGAAGAGGAAGAGCAAATTTTATCTACAAGTTGATGTATCAGAATGGTAATGCATTTTATACATCGCTCTCTATAACTTCGGATACATCACTGTAATTGATATCATTAGCCTCTGGCTTGACTATGTTATCAAACTGCTAATAATTTGTGGCTAATGTTGCACAAATGTGACATGCTAGTGATATGAAAAGCTCCATCCCACAGGTTGGCAGGATTGTTTGTGACGGTAGGAAACAGGCTGTTTCAAACAGCATTTTTGAGACTGTCTTTGGTGAACTGCAGTTTTAAGGAGAAAATGCTCAGTAATGGTGTTTGCACATGGTTTGTCTTTAATCATATTAAAAACACCAGACAGACATGTAAACAACTTTGAAAACTTGATTTTCACAACAGGAGGTATTTAATTCTTGTAGATTTTTCAGTTATTTTGTAAAGAACAGCAGTTTTCTCCGTTAATTTTTTCTGGTGTGATTGAGTGGAGGTGGAGACTAATTTGCATATTCATAGTTCTGCGCATACTAAATGAGGCAAGGATGTGGAGCGATTTTTCCGCAATGAACTCTGTCGAATTGCTTTGTGCCTCTATTGTACATTGCTTCGGATAACAGCGTCTACTAAATACATAAATGTAAATGTTTTACAATTGTATCATAACTCAACAATGCTACAAAAGAAAATAAGACAAAATTAATTCCTTACTTTCCATTGAGAGCAGTGACCCCGACTGTGCTGCGTGGTGTGGACATACTGGCCACATAATTCCACTGCCTCGCCTGGGGGTCCCACCTTTCTACTGTGTTCAAATAGCTCCATCCGTCATGGCCTCCCACTGCATACATGGGCCCCTCTAGCACAGCAATTCCTTTTTGAACAAATAAATGAATAAAACAAAAAGTAAGACTGGGCTCAGCCTTTGGTGGTGCACGCCATACAACAGACAAGCACACAATTCACTAGCAAGTGTCTGTCTTTGTCTTTGTGATGTAGTGAAACGGGCAAATGTCAAAATTGAAATGGTAATACCATGGAGTTAATTTCAATGAACATCAAGAGCTTTTCCTTATTAAGCAGATATCAGTAGCTAAAGACATTCTTCTAGTGCGACCCGAGCTCTAAGACGCTGTGGTAAGCATGAAGTATTCATGGTGCATCTCCCTTCTCCCTTTACAGCAAAGGTCTCTCTTGTTTCTGCACTGTAAAAAATGACCGTGAATTTAACAGTAAAAAAAGACTGTAAAAATGCTACAGTAAAAACCTGTTATATGGTTAACTATAAATCTCTGACTGTCGCTTTTGGGGTTCTAACATATAAATCGTCTCTTGACCAACATTTTGGTTATGATATTGCAGTGCACTTTATAGGTCTCAATGAGCAACCTTTGAGTGCCAGTTTTATGGGATTATTGTACAGTGCATTTTCTCCTCTGAGTTTAAATTAACTGCCATATTTTTTATACATATTTTTACGTGCAGCCCAGATTGCCTTTGTTAATTTATAGACATTCGTTTTGATGTTTGACCATCCGGTTATTTTTATTGTTATTTCTTGAGGCACTGGTATTAAAGCCACACAATTTTTATTATGCCCCCACTGGTTTGCCTTTGGCGCGTTTATCGAAATAGATGCACAGCAATAAGTTTTCTCTTTGTTTTGTAATGAATTCAATTTTCTACTAAATTTAAGTCAGTTTATTTGGTTTTTACATTATTAACTGAAACTCCCTGTTCAAGCTTTGGAGCTTTGCTGGGAAAATTAACATCACTATCAAGTTTTATTATTCATCTTCTTCCGAATCACTTCCTTGTGCTAGTTTTGTCTTCGAAAACTGGACCAGAATGAAAAAAAAAAAGATTATTAGTGTCAACATTATCAGCTTTTAAGTAAGGCACAAAATAACATATAATCTCCCTAATGCACCAAACTTTACACGCAAATTAAGTTTCACACTGTGATTGACTGCTTTTGATAAACTGAGACGCACTGTTAAATTTCCTAGGGCTGTAATTCTGTTCAGCTGCTTTTCAGCGTCTTGTGCCATGAACCGTTTCTAAGAGTGTCAAGAGTCGAAATATTTCAAAACGCCTGCAGAGACATCTGTGATCTGTTCCATTCTGCTCCGTCTAGCTATTGTTGAACCAAAACACATCATGTGTGAACATCAATGAAACTGATATTGTATGGTGCGTGAATATTAATTGAGTCATGCAGACATGGCTTGGTAACCTAGAAAGTAAAGCCAATTAGACAAATAAATTAATAAATATTCATTCATGAACTATGACCTCATAATAGTAAGATTTTTTCATCTTCACCAGCTGATTAGCAACGTATTCCTTTCAGCTAATAAGTTAGGTCTTCTAGGTGAACATGGCTTTGTTAATATTAATGAGCAAATCCTTATAAATTACAGCATACACACTGCCAATATAAATGTGAGGTAGTGCTTTTTAGAAAATTTATGTTTTTGACCTCTATAATATCTTTAATAACATTAACAAACCTAATGCTTAACAAATGATTTGTTAAAATACATTCAAAATATATGAAATGTAGACATCATGAATGTTTGATCAAGATCATTTCGAATGTATTCATATTTGAATGTTTATAAATTACTGATTTATTAATCTATGTAATTTAACTAGTAAGACTTTTAAAGTGTTCATGCATTGAGGGCTGGTGTTGTTTAATGCTGTAGAACAGATAATTAACAACTTCATACCATGTTTGTCACATTTATGCTGTGACAGAAAGAAGCTCATTTAATTACTAAACATTACAGCATAACAATTATTCATTTGTAATAAGATTACACAAACATCTGAAGCATTCATAAAACACACCTAATCCGTGTCTGTGGGTTGACATTGGCGGCATGGTGAACCACACTTTAGTGATTGGGTTGTAGCACTCCACCATGTTAGAAGTCTTGAGTCCATCCCTTCCTCCAACCACGTAGAGTTTGTTATCAATCACTGAAACCCCGAACTGAAGTCTTCGCCCATTCATGATACCAACTTGGATCCATCTGTTTGTGCGAAGGTCGTATTTCTCTATCGTTGTAGACCCTAAGAGTAGACAGAGACTCTAGTTTATTGTTAGTTAAAGAGTTGTATGCTGCTATGTTAATAGCTATTCTACTGTACAAAGTTTCTTTTTATTATGGCAGTAAGAGGTACTGCTATTAGAAAAGTATTAGAAAAAACTAAATAATGGTCCACCTTTAGAGGCGTCCATGCCTCCAACAGCATAAAGCGATCCAACAGTGGATTTCCGTGGTTTGGTTCTTGGGCTCTGTAGCATGGGACGGCGTTCTGGCAAAAGATGGTACTTCATGGCTTCCATCAGGAGCTTCTGGCATTCCAGGTCTTCTGAAAACATCTTATTGTTTTCCAGATCAGCAAGAAGCTAAATAAAAACAAACAGTGCATTAACATCAACAGAAGAATTATTTAAATATGAGGTCACCAGGAAGTTTTTTTAGTGATTATATTAAATTGTAATAAAATGACCAAGAGTCTCATATGAATGCTATTGGCAAACCTGTGGTGGTAAAAGGGGAAGTCGAATATACGCCAGCAACACTCCCAGATCCCGTTGTCGGTGCTGCACATCATAGCGAACCCACATCATCAGTGCTTGGAAAATCGTTTCTTCATCTGGAACGTTGATGTCATCGCTGGCCAAAAGCTTGACAATTTCTGTTGTGGGCAGCAAGAGGAACTCCTGATTCTGAATGACCTCTAGAAAATGTTCCTGAAATATTAAGCAATTTTGTTTAGTTATATTATAAATCTGTGTGCTGCACTGTAAAGAGACATTAACAGTAAGTCCTAAAATTAATGTTAAAAGCCAAATTATTTTTATATTTATATAAATATGTTATATTTTATTATGGTAAATGTATATATGTTTTCTTGCTGTGTCCAATGAAGTAATTCGGTTGTTGCAAGTCAGAAACAACAAATGGTGCTAATAGACGCTCGCAGTATGCTGTAGCACTACCAAAAAAATCATGATCCTAACCTAAAGTGACAAAACATCCTCTTTTTCCCAGACATGTCCTGGTCACGATTTCTAAATGGCCTTTTTTGGGCTTTGTTTTCCTATGTTTTCATACCTGAAGGTAATGACTGATAAGTATTTAATTAAGAAACCACAACTAGATCCTAGTGAACTGGCAAATTACAGACCCATTTCAAATCTTC